GTTTTTAAAAGATTTATCCTCTCTTATTAGTTCTCTGGACGTTGGGAATCCAGGTCGGCCTTTTGTATGGAAATAAAACTGAAAGACATTAGCCTCGCTTGGCTTCCCAACGCCACGGTTTGAAGGATAAGTTTTGTTTTTTTTTTATGAAAGGGAAACCAAAAATAATTAATAATAATGACCACCGATTGAGACTGAGCGGAATCGACCACACGGAAGAAATAATTCAAGTTGAGTGGAAGGAAGAGGTTTTTCCCTTTCCGGGAATGCTTCTTCTTTTTTTTTTTAAAAAAAGAAAATAGTCTAATAAACATGTTCCCTGGAATCTTATTATTTGGAGTTAGTCAGATGGAGAACTACAAACGAAATCGCTTCCTTTGAGATGGTTTAATTCCCCGGGAAGAGAAAGAAAAGAGCCAGAGGGGAAGAAGGAAGAAGTTTCCAAATCTGGGGGGCTTCCCTTTGGTTCCCCCCCCCCTTAAGGAAACCAAGCAAAAGCCTCCAGAAAGGGGCTTTTCCTCCATAAGATTAAGCTCATGAAGTGGGCACTTGAGGCACTTTTCTCTAGAGGGTTCCCCAAATAGAAAAGAAAAAAAATATTTTCCCTCCTCCTAAATAGGGAGAGACAAGGACATTATTTTGCATTTTTCATCTGCAGAACGTTTGCAGGAGTTTTGCAATAGTTTTCAGAAGAGAAATGCGAGAGAAGAAATACCTCTCTGTTTCTCCAAAACATGAATTCAAATGTTAATAGGCCTTTGTAAAAAAAAAAAAAGGAAGAAAGGAAGGAAGGAAGGAAGGAAGAAAAAAGAGGGACTGGAAATCTCCCGCTTTCTTTTTAAGTGGAATTTGGGATTTAAAGAAGAAAATCAAAGCGGAAAGGGAGACTTATAAAGGCGTCCTTGAAACAAATAAACTCCTCTCCCCAAGTATTTTTGCTGCTTTTCTTGCCACTCCAAAGGTCCAAATCGGGACCTAATTTCCAAGCAAAAGTATCTTTGGATCGGGTTGTAAAATCTTCCTGAGGACGTTAAGATCCCAGCCCGATCCTGGATCCCTTTGCATTGAAGTAAGTGCCACTTTATTGGGATTCGTTTTGGAAAAGAAATCGACAAATCCTTTCAAAGGAAGCTACTGACACCAGGCGCAACAAAGGGAGTTTTAAGATTATTTTAGGCCGTGAATGGGAGAAGAATAAAATAAAATAAGGAGCGCAGAAGAATTGCAGAAAGGTGAAAAATAAGATTATATTCAAATCCAGTTTTGACGGGGAAAGGAAGATTTGTTTCTTTGTTTTTAAAAATTGTTCCTAACTTTGGAAATCTGCAAGTGAAAAGATATTAAAGGTCCCAAGCCCAGATGGGGGTTAGAAATCGGAGCGTGTGCTAAGGGGTCGTTTTTTTAAATAAATTAACACATTTCTCCTAATCCGGTTTGGTTTTCATCTATGGCAAGAGTTATATCGTGGAAGCCGGAGAGAGGCGAGAACCCAACCAGGAAGAAATAAACGAAATAAAGTTCCTGATAGTTTCAGACCCAACGGATTGAATCCGGATTGACACAGGAGTCGCCCGGCGGGGGGGGGGGGGGGG